CATGTACTGCAGAGGACACCAGTGAGCTTCCACCTTGATTGCCTTGGGGAACTCCCGAGCTGACTCAGAGGCTCGAACAGCAGCATCCACTCCCTACTGGGCATCAGTTGCAGCCCCCCTGCTCCCTCGGTACCTGACATTGTACCTACTTATTCTAAAGAAGAGAAGGACTTTCTCCAGGCAGAGGGAGGGCAGGTGATAGAAGAGGGATGGATCTGGTTATCAGACAGAAGACTAGCCATGCCACAACTGCTAGGAGCCACAGTTGTACTGGCTGTGTGTGAGATCACCCACCTAGGCCAAGAGTCACTTGAAAAGTTGCTAGGCCGGGACTTCCACCTCTTGCATCTGTCAGCCCTTGCCAAAACAGCGGTGCAGCAGTGTGTCATCTGCTGGCAGCACAATGCTAGGCAAGGTCCAACTGTCCCTCTCAGCATACAAGCTTATGGAGCAGCACCCTTTGAAGATCTCCAGGTAGACTTCACCAAGATGCCCAGATATGGAGGTAGCAAGTATTTGCTAGTTCTAGTGTGTACATACTCTGGGTGGGTGGAGGTCTATCCAACACGAACTGAGAAAACTCATGAAGTAACCCATGTACTTCTCCGAGATCTCATCCCTAGGTTTGGACTGCCCTTATGAATTGGCTCAATGAGCCAGTGTTTGTGACTGACCTGGTACAGAAGACAGCAAAGGTATCGGGGATCACATGGAAACTATATACCACTTACCAACCACAGAGTTCTGGGAAGGTGAAGCAAATGAATCAGACTATAGAAAATAGTTTAGGGAAAGCGTGTCAAGAAACAGGATTAAAGTGGGTACAAGCTCTCCTTATGGTATTGTTTAAGATTAAATGTATCCCTTCTAAAAGAACAGGATATTCCCCTCATGGAATATTATATCATAGGCCCCCTCCCATACTACAGGGACTCCCAGGCACTCCTCATGAGCTAGGTGAAACTGAGTTACAGAAACAGCTACAGGCTTTAGGGAACATAACACAAACAATTTCAGCCTGGGTAAACGAGAGGTGCCCTGTCAGTTTATTCTCCCCAGTTCACCCTTTCTCTCCAGGTGATTGGGTGTGGATCAAGGATTGGAACATAGACCCCTTGCGGTCACAGTGGAAAGGACCCCAGATCATCATCTTGACCACTCCCACAGCCATAAAGGTAGAGAGAATTCCAGCCTGGATCCACCATAGCCATGTAAAACCTGCAGCACCTGAGACCTGGGGGGTGAGACCAAGCCTGGACAACACCTGCAATGTGACTCTGAACAAGATGACAAGCTCTGCTCCAGTCACACTCGGAAGCTGACTGGTGCATGTACAGCCAAAGCATGAGGATAGGCACATATGCCTGTGCAGATTTGGCATAGGTTTGATCCTGGATCCCTATTTGGAAAATGGTTTCCAGCTCTAGGAGGATTTAAAACTCTTATAATGGGAATATTAATAGTGTTAGGAACATGCATGTAACACCCCTGTATGTCACCCGTATTTCTCCAGTCACCAAGAGGCTTTGTTACCACCTTAGTTCATCAAGAGACCTCAGCTGTTCACAGGAAGACCTGGGTAGTGAAGATGAGAATGAAAACCCTCACTAGTGAGTAAGGTTGTCAAAGGAGGGAATGAGGAGAGAGGCCATTTCTCTTACTGTCTCTTGTCTCTGAAGAGAAGGAGGAAGTAAAAGCTGCCTGAAGTTAAAGATGAACCCCCTACTCTAACCATGTGCTATCTATAAATCTTAATCTATCACGACCCTTTCACATGGACCCCTTGGAGTTGTCAGCCCTTAAAAGGGTCAGGAACTCTTTCTTCAGAGAGTTCATTTTTGAGATGCAAGTCTGCCGATGCCCCCAGCTGAATAAAGCCTCTTCCTTCTTTAACCCGGTGTCTGAGGGATTTTGTCTGTGGATCATCCTGTTACAAAAGGAAGCTATGAGGCTATTCTACTAGAAAAAAATGATTTAACATTAACTGCTAATAATTCACTTAACCCAACAAGTTTCTTAACAGGGGATCCAAATCTAAAAACAGAACATACATGTTCAGACTTAATTGATTACCATGCAAAGGTCCAGCCAGACCTAGGAGAAACTCCCTTCAGGATGGGATGACACTTACGTATAAATGGTTCCTCTTGGGTGATTGAGGATAAAAGACATAGGTATTCAGTAATTAATTTTAAAAAGCTCTTAAAGAAATAGAGTCAGAAAAATTGCCTAATAACTGGTCTGCCTAAACTTGTAAAGTGTTTGCACTCAGCCAAGCCTTAAAGTACTTATAAAACCAGGAAGAAACCAACTATACTGATCCTAGGTACGCTTTTGGGCTGGCACATACATTTGGAAAAATTTGGACTGAATGAGGTCTTATCAATAGTAAAGGTCAACACTTTGTTCACACGGAGTTAATCACCCAAGTATTAAATAAGCTTCAGTTGCCAGAAGACATAACTATTGTCCATGTCCCCACACACCAAAAAAGCTTTTCTTTTGAGAGTCAGGGAAATAATCTAACAGATCAGATAGCCACACAGGCTGCGGTTTCATCTAAAATGCCTATCTTTCATTTAACTCCTCGTCTTCCTCACCATTACAATCTCTATTTTCTCTGCCACAGAGAAAGAGAAATTAATAAGAATGGGAGCCAGTCTGGACAATGAAAAAAGGATGGACTCATCACAATTGAGTCAAAAAAGTGCCACCCCCTCCAGAATCATGGGCCATAGTTTCAGGGGAGAACCCTACCAAAACTAAAGCTATGAAAAGTTCAACTACCTTCCATCTGTTCTGTTACTCCTTCTCCTTCTCCCCTTCTATTGCTAATCCTCTCGTTATTAATGTAACTAGGATGGGCTCACCCCAAACTATTTCCTTTAATGCTTGCCTCATTATGCCCTGTGAAAATCTCCAGAGTCAAAAACAGCTCTTAGCCTCAGAGAAATATCTCTGTTACTGTTGGACAAGAGGCTC